CTGCCGCACTCGCAACAGCTGTGCATCAATGAGCCTCGCATTGCGAGTCTTGAGTCTTGCGTCGCTGTCTGTACGGCTCATCGCTGTGAGAGCAAACACCAAGATGCTTTCGACAAACAGGATGTGGAAGTGGGTGAGGTCCTTGCTGAACTTTTCCAACTCCGCAATGAGCTCCATGACAGCATTCGGGACGATGTCATTGGCCGCCTTGGCCGCGGGACTTTCAAACTCCTCGACGAAGCGCACCATGTCTGCCTTGTCCTCATGCAAGCAACTTGTAGCTAGGTGACTAGGCAGCGTCATCATCCCTGCACTACGTCACTACATCACTAGACTGCACTACATCTCGTAGTCACTTCACTATAATCACTAGTCACTAGTCACTAGTCACTAGTCAGTCACCACACCACATCTACGAATCTACACTCACTGAAACTACACTCTACACAGCACGGGTTCCCCACAACCAACCAACAATTCAATAGAAGCATGTCCTTGATGACCAAATCCAGCTCTTTTTTGAGGTTGCCGGAATGCATCTTGCCCACCGTGTTGGCTCCTGCCCATGACCCTGATCCCATACCAACCAGCAGAACAAACTCAAACTTGCGTCGCTCACAAAGCCTTGAATCTTCAAGAAGGCCTCAGCCATCTAAACTCCCTGAACTTCACTACTACTCAAAACCCGCCCAACCCTGAAGGCACAACCCCAGACTTCACAACAATGCCAAACCATAAACATTTGGCCTCCTTAGAGGTCACCAATTGCTGCTACGGCCGTTGAGGTTAAGCAGCCGTGTGTTCAGACAATGATCTGTCTCTTCGAAGGATGCTACTGCTACAGGACCCAATCGGAACCCACGAATCATGTCAACTCAACTCTATCAGCACAGTTGTCTGCCCTGTCCTGTCTTGAGAACTTCCTCCTGGGTGGCCTCCTCACGAATCTGCATGTGCCAGTCCGTCGCTGGCTCTGCAAGGCTTCCACACACCTTCCGGAGGATCAGAATCGAATTGTTGAGACGCTCCTGGAATTGGGCGCATACCAACTGCACTGCATCCACAACTGTTTCGCTCGCCACCTGCCACTTGGACAAAGCCGTAGCCCCGCCCTCCAAGTGAAACAGCATGTCATGGGGCGGCGCATCATTCATGTCATCCGCCACACCGTCCGCCGGTAGGGTCTTCGCAATGTGGGCAGTGACCGACGCTGCACCGGAGAGCAGTGCGAACCTTGATCTCACAATCCTCTTCAGTAGGGCCTGCTGCGCATCTGCATGGATGCGATGAGCAGCATCGGGACCCAGGCCTTCGTACTGGCTGAGGCCTTGATGGAACTCCAGGCCACTACTCAACAACCCCAGCATCTGTTTCAACAGATCTCCTCGCGGATGCTTGCCTAGCACTTGCAGTGCCAGGACCACCTTGCTAAGAGGCTCAGCTTGCTGCATGATGTGCGGGTTGTAGAAGTCCGTGGCCTCAGAACAATGTAGTAATGTAGTAGCAACTTAGTAGTAGTAGTAGTAGTAGTAGTAGTAGTAATAATAGTAGTAGTAGTAGTAGTAGTAGTAGTAATAGTAGTAGTAGTTGTTGTCGTAGTAGTAGTAGTAGTAGTAGTAGCAGTAGCAGTAGTAGCAGTAGTAGTAGTAGTAGTAGTAGCAGCAGTAGCAGCAGTAGTAGTAGTAGTAGTAGTAGTAAGTAGTCGTAGCAAGTGAATAAGTAAGTAGGCAAACAAGTAAGTAAATAAGTAAGTAAGTAAGTAGCTAAGTAAGTAAGTAAGGAAGTAAGTAACACTAGTCACTAATAGTAAAGTAGTACAAGTCATAGTCACTCTAGTCCCATCAAGGGTCAAGTAATGAGGGACTAGTAACTAGTAAGCTAGTCACTAGTCCTTAACCTTAGTAACTAGTAACTAGTAACGAGTAATTAGTAACGAAAACTAGTAACTAGTTAACTAGTAACTAGTAACAAGTAACGAGTAATTAGTAACTAGTAAGTAGTAACAACTAGTACTAGGTGCTAGGTTACTAGGTCACTAAGTCTCTAATTTAAGTCTAAGTCTATGCCAATGCCTATGCCTATGCTTATGCCTATGGCATAGGCCTTTATGACCTATGATGCGTCAAAGCCGCTTTGGCCAAGGCATCTTTGAGCATGTAAGCCACCGCTCGTTGGATCAGCTCGGTGTCGCTGTCGAACAAGGAAGCTTTGCATTTCGTCAGCGCTGCCATGAAGTCCTCCACAAGCAGCGGCTCCTGAGCAATGCGGTTTGCATTGCTCTCGGCACTGCCAACATACTTCCGCAGCATGCGGCAGACGTTCGCCTTGCAAATCTGTGCATTGTGTTTTGTCGCCCAAGAAGTCAATTTTGACTCCGCTTCTGCACAGGAGCTGTCGACCTTGTGGAAATTTCCGGATTTCAGAGTCTCCTGGAGCCAGGACACCCAACTGGCATCCAGATCCTCCACATTGTCGCCCATGTATAGCCTGCGAGCTGCCGCCACGAGGTGCTTTGCCAGCTCGACTCTGGGTTCCTGCATCTGCCCCTTCCGGAGGTTCTCAAGCAGGTACTTCTGTTGCGCAACTGCCCACTTCAAGTCCTCCGGTGCCGGGTGCTTCTCCTTCACGATGTTGCGCAGCCGCTGAAAGGTTGGGTTCGCTGTGGGCAGCGAGGCCGCAGTGCGCTGGATGTCCTTGACAAGGGCGAGGATGAACTTGGCCTGCTCCTTCTGCTCCGGGGTTGCATTCTGCGGGGGCTCCTTTGTCAAGATATTCTTCAGCGCCTTGTGGAAAACTTGGCGCCCGCGATACTCCAAGGCTTTCAAGACCACTTCTCCCTGCATGGCGTAGTCTGCAGGGTCGATGAGACAGAGGATCATCTTGCTCAGCGCAGCCGCATTCTGCAGAGTCTCGTTGAAGTTCTTGAGAAAGCGATGCTCCTGCATAGGCAGGGGCATGAGGCACTTGCCCTCGGTTTCTTCGTAGCATCGCAAGAACGTGCGGCTGAACGCTTTCGCGAGCTGCTGCGAGCGGGGGCTCTGGATTGTTCTCACCAACTCCAGGAACTTGTCATCTTCAAGGATCATCATGTAGGCACTGCAGAACGCCTAGCAGACGGAATGTGTGCTACTTGTCTGCCTGTCTTCAGAAAGTCTGCAGACATAACGGAAATGCGCCTCGAACTGCTCTTGCTGCAGCGTCTCCTTCTCCGTCGGCTCTTTGGTAGCACACGGAGCAGAGCCGTTGCTCTCCTGATGTCACAAAACCCTCAAATAAATGTCGTGAGCGGTAGTAACAGCAGTAGTAGTAGCAGTAGTAGTATTAGTAGTCGTAGT